TCTAGGGGAACACTGATGCGAAGGCCAAGAGAGAGAAAGCCTTCCCCTGGAGCTGACACCTTGAATTTGGACTTTAAGCCTACTTTGACTATGAGGAAATAAACTTCTCTTCATTAAAACCATCCACTTGTGGTATTTCTGTTGTAGCAGCACTAGATGACTAAGATGCCAGTACTAAGAGGACTTGTTCCATTTTCCTGTCTTATTGAGTTAGCTGTTGTTAGTAGGTGCCGTTGAGTCGGTTCCGACTCTTAGCAACCCTATGAACAACAGAACAAAACACTGCTGGGTCCTGCGCCATCCTCACAATCATTGCTCTGTTTGAGCCCTTTGTTGCAGCCACTGTGTCAATCCATCTCACTAAGGGCCTTGCTCTTTTTCGTTGACCCTCTACTTTACCAAGCATGATGTCCTTCTTCAGTGACAGGTTCCAGCTGATAACATGTCCAAAGTACATGAGATGAAGTCTCTACACCCTTGTCTCCAAGGAGCTTTCTGGCTGCTCTTTTTCCGAAACAGATCTGTTCATTCTCCGGCAGTCAATGGTATATTCAATATTCTTTGCCAACACCATAATTCAAAGGCATCAATTCTTCTTCAGACCTCCTTATTCATTGTCCAGCTTTCGCATGCATATGAGATGACTGAAAATGCCATGGCTTGGGTCAGGTGCACCTTAGTCCTCAAAGTGCTTTTTAACACTTTTTAACACTTTAAAGAGGTCTTTTGCAGCAGATTTGCCCAATGCAATGTGCCATTTGATTTCTTGACTGCTGTTTCCATGGGCATTACTTGTGGATCCAAGTAAGATGAACTCCTTGACAATTTCAATGCTTTCTCTGTTTATCACGATGTTGCTTATTGGTCCAATTTTGAGGATTTTTGTTTTCTTTATGTTGGTGTAATCCATACTGAAGGCTGTAGTCTTTGATCTTCAACAGTAAGTGTTTTAAGTCCTCTTTGTTTTCAACAAGCAATGTTGTGTCATCTGCGTATCGCAGGCTGTTAATGGAGTGCCAGTTCTGATGCTGCATTGCTCCTCATTTAGTCCAGCTTCTCAGAGTATTTGCTCAGCATACAGACTGAATAAGTATGGTGAAAGTATACAACCTGGACACATACTTCTTCTGACTTTAAACCACAAAGTATATTCTTGTTCTGTTCGAACGACTGCCTCTTGGTCTATGTACAGGTTCCACATGAGCACAATTAAGTGTTCTGGAAGTCCCATTCTTCACAACGTTATCCATAATTTGTTATGATCCACACAGTTGAATGCCTTTGCATAGTCAATAAAACACAGGTAAACATCTTTCTGATGTTCTCTGCTTTCAGCCAAGATCCATCTGACAACAGCAATGATATCCCTCATTCCACATCCTCTTCTGAATCGGCTTGAATTTCTGGCAGTCCCTGTCAATGGACTGCTGCAACCTCTTTTGAATGATTTTCAGCACAATTTTACTTGCATGTGATATTAATAATATTGTTCGATAACTTCCGCATTCTTTTGAATCCCCTTTCTTTGGAATGGGCACAAATATGGATCTCTTCCAGTCGGTTGGCCAGGTAGCTATCTTCCAAATTTCTTGGCATAGACAAGTGAGCACCTCCAGGGCTGCATCAGTTTGTTGAAACATCTCAGTTGGTATTCCGTCAGTTCCTGGAGCCTTGTTTTCCACCAATGCCGTCGGTGCAGCTTGTACCTCTTCTTTCAATACCATTGGTTCTTGATTATATGCAGCCTCCTGAAATGACTGAACATCAGTCAGTTCTTTTCAGTACAGTGACTTTGTGTATTCCTTCCATCTTCCTTTGCTGCTTCCTGCACCATTCAGTAGTTTGCCCATAGAATCCTTCAATATTGCAACTTGAGGCTTGAATTTTATCTTCAGTACTTTCAGCTTGAGAAATGCCAAGTGTGTTCTTCTCTTTTGGTTTTCTAACTCCAGATCTTTGCATATTTCATTATAATATTTTACTTTGACTTCTCGAGCCACCCTTTGAAATCTTCTGTTCAACTCTTTTACTTCATCATTTCTTCCATTCACTTTAACTATTCTATGTTCCAGAGCAAGTTTCAGAGTCTTTTCTGACATCCATTTTCGTCTTTTCCTTCTTTCCCGTCTTTTTCATGATCTTTTGCTTTCTTCATGTATGATGTCCTTCATGCCATCCCACAACTCTTCTGGTCTTCAGTCATCAGTATACAATGCTTCAAATCTATTCTCAAGATGGTCTCTAAATTCCGGTGAGATATACTCAAGGTCGTACTTTGGCTTTTGTGGACTTGTTTTAATTTTCTTCCATTTCAACTTGAACTTGCATATGAGCAATTGATGTTCTCTTCCACAGTAGGCATCTGGTCTTGTTCTGACTGATGATAGTGAGCTTCTCCATCATCTCTTTCCACAGATTTAATGAATTTGATTCCTCTGTATTCAACCGGTGATGTCCATGTATATAGAAGCCGTTTAAGTTGTTGAAAAAAATTTTACTTGCAATGAAGAAGTTATTGGTCTTGCAAAATTCTATCATTCAATCTCTGGGATCATTTCCATCACCAAGGCCATATTTTCCAACTATTTTTCCTTCTTCTTTGTTTCCAACTTTCGCATTCCAATCACCAGTAATTATCAATGTATATTGAATGCATGTTTGATCAATTTCAGACTGCAGAAATTGGTTAAAATCTTCAATTTCTTTATCTTTGGCATTAGTTGTTGGTGTGTATATTTGAATAATATACAGTCATATCAACTCGCCTGCCTTGTAGGCATATGGATATTATCCTATCACTGACAGCATTGTACTTCAGGATAGATCTCGAAATGTTCTTTTTGAGAATGAATGTGACTTCATTCCTCTTCAAATTTTCATTCCTGGCACAGTAGACCATATGACTGTCTGATTCAAAATGCCCAATATCAGTCCGTTTCAGCTCATTAATGTCGAGGATATGGACCTTTATGTATTACATCTCATTTTTGATAACTTCTAATTTTCCTAGATTCATACTTCGTATATTTCATGTTCTGATTATTAATGGATGTTTGCAGCTGTTTCTTCTCATTTTGAGTCGTGCCACATCAGCAAATGAAGATCTGGAAAGCTTTACTCCATGCACATCATTATGGTCAACTCTATTTTGAGGAGGCAGCTCTTCCCCAGGTGTATTTTGTGTGCCTTCCAACCTGAGGGGCTCATCTTCCGGCACTAAATTAGACAATGTTCTGCTACTATTCATAAGGTTTTCACTGGCCAATCTTTTTTGGAAGTAGACCACCAGGTCCTTCTTCCTAGTCTGTCTTAGTCTGGAGGCTCCACTGAAACCTGTCCACCATGGGTGACCCTGCTGGTATTTGAAATACCCGTAGCATAGCCTCCAGCATCACAGCAACAAGCAAACCATCACAGTATGCAACTGACAGACGAGTGGTGGATTGAGTTAGCTAGACTGATTTAAATTATCTGGGATCTGAGTGGTCACAATGATCTTCTCATTCCTAAGCCTGACTTTAATGAGTATAACTTTAGCCTGTTACTGTTATGTCTCCAATGATTTTCTGTTAATCTTGTTTAAGAAAGTTCCCCTTTATTTTTTATCATAATGATGATTGAATTTTATCAACAGCTTTCCGCAACTGATAAATAATATGTTGATATAACAATATGGTCTTTCTTTCTCCTTTAAGCTATGAGAGCTCTAAAGGTTTCGTTTTAAGCTCTTATGAACAAATATACAGATACTTTTTGGAGAGATAACACTTTAAAGCTGTCAACAGCCATTTATCCTTAGTCTGACTGGAGGCACAGAAATCAAGAGGGTCATGAGGATTCACAGCATCTGGGGTGGAGGCCAAAATAGAGCATTAAAGTACAAAAATATTCAGGCTGGGCTCTTAACTGCCCAGAGATTGCAGGCTCAGGTTAACACAGGCTACTCCTGCACCTTCCCCTTTGACCTCTGCTTATGCTATGCGCTGCTTAGAAAACCCTTTTATCCGCCTTGTTCTTGTTCCACCAATCTCTGCTCATGGAAACCGTATCCATTCTTTAAGGCTCAAATTAAATGCTATCTCCTCTGGAATCTTCCCAGATCCTCCAGACCCACTGTCCCCCAAATCCCAACTCTTCAGTGCCACTTCATTTTATATGAACCCCAGTGTAGCAGGAATAACTTTATTCCGCTGTGTATAACTGCTTTTGGTGTATGTACATTTTCTTTCTCTCTCTAGCCCAGTGATTGGCAGAGTGCCTGGCATACAGTGGGTGCTCAACAAACGCTAAATGAAGCCCTGGCAGAATTAAGAGTCCGCTGCTGCTCTTTATCCTAACAGCCCTTCCCGCCCTGCCGGGACTGAGGACACCATTTCAGTCAGGGTCCTGCAGGGTGGACTCCGTCTCAGCAGAGGGCATCCAAGACCCCTCACCAGCCCCGGAAGCCGGGCTGCCTGCAATGGGAAGACTACACTTCCCAGTGATCCCAGGGAAAAGCGAAAAGCCTTTGGCTTTGACAGCCACCGCCACAAGTCTTTCCGCCTCCCCAGCCTGCCTGGGAGCTGGGAGCTGGATTATGGTGGCCTGAGCAGCAAACGCAGCCGCGGGAGCCCAGAGCCCCTGGCCCCTTCCCACCCTGCACAGCCTACCAGGAGGACAAGGAAAGAACCGCCGCTGACCTGCCATGCCTGCCCCTCCCAGCCCCCCAAGGGGCCTGAGCCACCCTCTCCTGGATGGCTGCTGAGGCTGGACACCGCCGTCTGGATGTAGCGGGGTCGGGGATCCATCTCTCTCCCCTTCTCTCTCTCTCTGCGGATTTCTCCTGACCGCTAGCCACAGCCTGGACCCGGGGGCTGGCTAAGGGGCCTGCAGGCTCTGGAGTCCTGATGCCTCAAACCTCACTTTTTTGAGGAGCCACTGCAACCAGCACCCAGAATTGGGGGGAGGCAGCAGGGACCGACGTGGGCCAGAGAGAGCCCAGCGGGCCTGCAGGCCAGGCCACCATGGCTCCAGCCCTGCCCTGGCTCCTGCTGTGGGTGGGCTCAGGGGTGCTGCCTATCCGTTGCACCCCACACGGCATTCGTCTGCCTCTGCGGAGTGGGCTAGGGGGGGCCCCCCTGGGGCTCCGGCTGCCCCGGGACACCGATGAGGAACTGGAAGAGCCCAGCCGGACGGGCAGCTTTGTGGAGATGGTGGACAACCTAAGGGGCAAGTCGGGCCAGGGCTACTACGTGGAGATGACTGTAGGCAGCCCCCCACAGACGGTAAGGACGCCAGCCCGGCCCTCCACACCACCTCCCCCTACTTCCCGCATGAGCAGAGGGAGACAGGGTGGGCATGCAGCTTGCTGGTCCCCTGCTAAAATGGGCTAGAAGGTGCAGGCAGTAAACTTTAGCCAGGAAGGGCACCCACACCTCCTCCCAAACTATTCCTGGGGTCAGATTGGCACAAGTCATCCCCAAAGCTCTCCTTTCTCATCTCCCTACACCTCACTGGCTTCCCAATCCCCCTTGTCCGGCTACCCTCCCTTCACCCCCTGCCTTACACACATACCCCTCTATAAGGATTTGGGGAAAGAGAAATACCCCAGTGGTGGGAACTTGACCTGGAGGGAGGTTCCAGTCCAAAGGGCTCTATGAACAGGTGTCAGTCCCTTTCTAATGTGGCCAACTCTCAGTCTCCCAAAGCCCACCTCTGGGAATCTTGCTCACCCAACCCTCTCCCTTTCTCTGGTCTTCCGGTCAATGTGGAGTTTCGACCATTGTTCCCAGCACCTTAAGGGCCAAGGAATCCTGGGCACATGTTGGACCAGCTCCTTTCTCCCAGTCTGAGCTGCCACAGGGACAGCAAATCAAATTGCAGAAATCTCCCTGACCTCCACTGGACTCAGAAGCCCTGGACACACTCTTGCCTTCCCCTAGTCCCTCCCCGTCTTCCTCTCTCCCTCCCCTTCACACGCTGCACTCAGCCCTCCCCCATTCCGTGAACTGAGCCTGGGGAAAGGACAAATTGTAAGAAAGGAGCCAAGACCCCTTGTAAGAATGATACTCCTTCCGCGAGCTGATAGGTGGTGCTGTGTGTATGGGAGGAGGGCTGACAGCAATTGGAAAAGCACTGCCAGCTCTTCCCATCCTTCCTGAGAAGCCTCCGAGGTACCTCCAAGGTGGCTGGTGGAGGCTGCACCCTCTGCACCTCTGTGCGTGGCTGTGGGAGTGAGGACGTGAGCAGCAGCCCTCCGTGGGGGGCGCTGTGTCTGACCTCTGCGTGCATTTGCCTCCTCTGTGGGTGAGCCTGGGCAGGGTAGCAGTATGGTTCTGTGTATGCTGGTGTGTGTCACCTTGAATCTGAGCCTGCACATCTCTGTGACCAGCCCCACCTCCCGGGATCTGTGTTGGCAGAAGCCTGTCCTTGGGAGGGTCTGTGAAGGTGGGAGTGTATTGATGTGCTGGGGGAAAAGCCACACTTCCCTGAACTTCTTAGACAGCTCTTACACTGGATCTGGGAGAAACAGAAATCACCTCCCAATTACCTGAGCAGAAGTGAGCCTTCCTAGGTCCATACCACACAGGCCTACCTCCTCGCTGATCCAAGGCCCTGGTCTTCCCCACTTACCTCTCCTTTTTGCTGTGCACCATGACTCCCCCAGAAATAGTCTCTAATGGGTGTGTGAAGCCAAGACAGAGCCTGAATCTAGGCCCCCAGCAGCCTGAGCCAACAGAATGCTAGGTATTATCTGGGAGCAGGGGATGCAGAGCCCTGGGATTGACTCCTGTTTCTGCTACTGATGCACTGTGCAAACCATTCACGAACTCTGTGACATGGATGCAGAATAGGGCTGCGGAACCAACAAGGGCTTTGGGGTCAGATAGACCAGGAGTCCCAGCTCTGCCACCCACAGCTTTTCCTTTTCCCAGCTGTGTGGCCTTGGGAAATTATATAACCTCTCTGAGGCCATTTCCTTATCCTTAAAATGGGTGAAATGAGATCTCCTTGGCAAGGTTACTGAGAATTAAATGAGACTATGTAGGTGAAAAGGAGCCCTGGTGGCACAGTGGTTAAGTGCTCCGCTGCTAACCAAAAGGTCGGCTTTGAACCCACCAGCCGCTCTGCAGGAGAAAGGTGTGGCAGTCTGCTTCCATAAAGCTTACATCCTTGGAAACCCTACGCGGCAGTTCTACTCCATCCTATAGGGTTTCTATGAGATGGAACCGACTCGATGGCAATGGGTATGTAGGTGAAAGGATCTAGAACAGTGTACCACATGATTTACCACCAGTATATGAAGTCACTTTTCCCTTAACATGTCTGTTCACTTCTGCCTCTTCTGTGCTATGCAATGAAGCATAAAAACTTGGGTGTTCCGGCACTGATTGCTGTACTTCCCTGGTCCCCTGAGATCAGGTGTATATCACCGAGCCCAGGACTTGGCAGAGAGTAATTGCTCAATACATGCCATCTCCTTCCCCCTCCTTCCTAGGAGGAGAGAAAAGGGGGCTTAAAGTTCAACACCAACCCAGGAGCGAGCATCAGGGAGACTACAATTAGAACAACTCTGTGGACTGCCCTATGGTCCTAACCTAGGCCAACACCAGCTGGAATCTGTTCTGTGCTAACTTTGATTCTCTCCTCAATAGTCTGCGAGAAGGATGTCCTTTCTCCCTACCTGGTGGGGCTGTTGTAACCGTCAACTGAGAACATAATGGCAGAGTGCTCTGAACAAGTAAAAGAGAAATCTGGGGAGCACTTTCTATGTGCTGGAATCCCTGGGTGATGTAAATGGTTAGCACACTCAGGTGCTAACTGAAAGGTTGATTGTTCAAGTCAAGCAGAGGCACACTGGAAGAAAGGCCTGGCAATCTACTTCTGAAAAATCAGCCATCAAAAACCCTATGGAGGGCTTTTCTACTCTGACACACATGGGGTTATCATGAGTCAGAGTCGAGTCTACAACGACTGTTTTTTTTCTGTGTGCTGGGGTATGGGACAGAAGACATGTTTTCTGCTCTTAAAGAGCTTAGAGTGGAGACAGCCTAGGAGTGAAAATATAAGTACTAGTCTAGTGCAAGATAATCCATAGTAGTGGTGCTCAGAGTGCAGTCCAAAGACCCTGGTCATGGGAGCCTGTTAGAAATGTAAATTCTCTGTCCCATCCCAGACCTTCCAAATCAGAATCAGCCGAACGCTTAACCACTGCACCACCAGGACTCCAAACACTCTCTAGTACCCTTTAATGGAGCCCTGGTGGTGCAGCAGTTAAGTGCTACGGCTGCTAACCAAAAGGTCGGCAGTTTGAATCCACCAGCTGCTCCTTAGAAATCCTATGGAGCAGTTCTACTCTGTCCTATAGGGTCACTATGAGTCGGAATCAATTCAATGGCAATGGGTTTTGGGATCTATAGTAGTACATAGTGAGTGCTCTAGGTGCTCAGAAGGTTGGAAAAATCAGGGAAGGCCTCATGGAGGGCATGCGACCCGAGCATGGTCTTGAAGGATGGACAGGATGGGGGAGGCCATTCTCAGTGGGAAAATGAACCTATCCCACTATACTGTCATTGCCTTGACTAGTATGTCCACTCCTTCCCACCCTATCCACCTTAGACTGGGAGAGGCCACAGTGAGTAAGAGAATGAGTTATGTATGTTTGGGCTTATGCATGTTTGTACAGAGGGCAGTGAGAAAACCAGTTCAGTTAATGCTGCAGGTTTGTGCTGAGACTGGATAAGTTTGAGTAAATAAGAGAAAGCCAAATTGCCAAAAGCCTTAAATGTCAAGCTAGAAGGTCTGAACTTTGGTCTGCACAGATAGGGGAAAATTGAATCTATTTGTGCAGGGATATGACATAAAGAACGTAATCTTTTAGGAAGAGACATCTGAATTTTAGAAAGAATGGAGCTGAGATATAAGCAGCCATTCAACAGTCTGTCACATTCAATGGTCCAGGTGTGAGGCGCTATGACAAGGATGGCATGAGGCTGTGATCAGATGGGAAGGAAGATGAGGATCAAAGGATATTGCAAGGCAGATGGGCAGGACTTGGTGACATTGTGTGAACAGTGAGGGAGAAGGTGTCAAATGACAATTTTGAGATTCTGATCTGGGGTGAATTGGAGGATGACAAGATCGTTGGTGGGAATAGTAAAGTTGGCAGGAGGGGATGGTTTAGTAGTACTAATATACAAATACATATTTGTACTTATTATTGCAGTTTATAAAGACTTTTTCCATACTTTCTACATATATTGTTTTTATAGAAATTCCTGATATATATACATATATACACATATACATGTGTGTATATATGTATGTATGTGTGTATGTATATATATATGAAAGGTTAAACAAGCAGCCAGATGGCAGGCCAGTAAGCTGAGCCCCATCTCATCCTTGTTCTTCCTACTATGCTATGTTTGTTTGGGGGAAGAAGAAGGAATATTTTATCATTATATCCTTCTTCCATTCTCCCATAACACCTACTCATCTCTCTCACTACACTTATTGTAACGTATCGTAAATGCCTGTCTTTGTGTTTATTTATTCCCTCATAAAACTTCAAGCTCTTGAGAATGTATTATTTATTTGTTTGCAGTGTCTTATTTCTCTTTGCATTCTAATATCTATCACAGTGCCAGACTCAGAGCAGGCACCTAAGAAATATGGAGTGAATAAATAAATACACTGTAAGGCATCTGAACAGAACACTGATGGACAGATGTAAATGCAGGACTGGAGCTCTTGGAGGAGGTATAATAGTATAAGCATCACTGACAAAACAGGATAATTTAACTGTTAAGATTGAAATCTGGTGATAGTCAATTCAGTTTATTAAATATTTATTGAGCACTTACTGTGTGCAGAAGAGAAAAAGAATGTCTTAGCCCTTGTTGTTAGCTGAAAACAAGTCAAGTCGGCCCCCACTCGTGGCAACTCCATGCACAACGGAATGAAACACTGCCTGGTCCTGCATCATCTCCATGATCAGCTGCAGACCAGACCTTTGTGATCCATAGGGTTTTCACTGGCTGATTTCCAGAAGTAGATTGCCAAGCTTTTCTTCCTAGTCCGTCTTAGTCTGAAAGCTCCCCTGAAACCTGTTCAGCATCATAGCAATATGCAAGCCCCCACTGACAGACAGGTTGGTGGGCCACACGTAAGGTGTATTGACCAAGAATTGGCATGGAATTGGAATGGAAGCAGAGAATTCTACCACTAACCATGAATGCCTTTGGAGAGCTCACAATTTGGTGTGAGACACAGACACATAAAC